CCGAATACCGATACCGACGGTATCCGGTATACCGGATACCGGTTTACCACCGGATACCGGTTTACCGATTACCACCCCTAAGCCCAACGTGTGTGGAATCGTTCATTTCACTAAATCGGGTTTTGGTAGAGACACTAGTTGATCTTTTGTGGGGTACTCCTACAAGGTGATGCTAGTTCCTCTCTAGTACAAGTAAAAGTTCCACCCGTAGAACTGATCTCCTACTTGAAGATGTGTTTTTAAGGTAACGAATAAAGCTTCCGCCCCCCCTTAAATTCATTGACCCTCCACACGAGTTGAGGTAAAGAGTTAAAAGAAGTACTCTGACAAGTGACAGAGATACACAAATTACTCTTGCTTAACCGATAAGGGTCGACTTTGAAACTGCAGGTTAGAACCCCATCAATGAAAATGAATGGTAAAGAAATCAAAGAGTAAGGAAAATGGGTTCCAATCGATCTAATGAAGGAAGAAAGAACACCGAAAAAGATGAGTCCATGGTTATGTGTGTTCAAGAGTCTCTTCATCCATGATCATCTGCCCTAAGTCCACTACTTGGCATGATCTCGGCCCGAGACTAGAGCTCTCATCGAGAGAGTAAGGGGATATCTTGTGTATCGATTAACCTCGTAAGTTACTAAGTGGTCTAAAAAATCCATTGCCGACGATCGGGGTTGCATATTAATTCAGGCCTAATTGTACATGTTTTGCCCCCGTTTTACTTAGGTGTTTGTGACAAATTCACTCCTAAAAGGTTGATTTTACGCTAGGTTTCTCGTGTTTTAGTGTGTTTCAAGATTTAATAGGTGAAACCAGCCTCGGAGTCGAAAGTTGGACGAAAAGGATCGAAAACCGGGAGAAGAGGTGGAAAAGGGCCAGTTCACGGCTATCCCAGGAAGTTCACGGTCTTGCAAGACCGTGAAGAAGAGCCATTGATCATGAACCTCGAGGCGTCCAGAGCCAAAACAGAAGTTACTGAGGCAAGGTGAGTTCACGGTCAGTAAGACCGTGAACTGAGGCTGTCGACCATGAACAGATGTGAACGAAGTGGTGCGTTTTGGCGTTCATCTGCAGTTCACGGACACGTTTCATAGTTCACGGGCGTGAACTTAGGCCGTGAACTGAGCTCTTCTATGGTTTAAAAGATGAGCTTAAAGGAAGAGAGAGGGGGTAGCCCATTGGTGAGAAAGCCTTCTTCTGATTTCTAGAGAGAAACACGAACCAAGGAAGAAGGAGGCTAGGGTTTTGCTCCAAGGTGGATTTTCGGAAGATTTCCTCCAAGGAAAGTTCAACACAAGGGCCAAGAAGATTGGAAACCTTTGTGCATGTCCATGCTTAGCAATCTAGTTAGCTCCTTAACCTAGTCTAGAGAGGGAAACCCCCCTTCCAAGGGAGTCTTAATCGAGTTGGTATCCCTATGGCTTTTCAAGTCTTCTAACTAGGTTAATTTAGGGCAAACCTCAATATTGGATTAAGCAATTTGGTTAAGCGCGATTAAGCCGACCAACCCTTGGGTTGAGTGAGGGAGTAAGTCAACCATTGATTGCCTAAACCGAGAGGGCCTAGTGACAGCCTATAATGAATGCCTCAGTTTAGCAATCATGAGCATGGTCTACGACCATATTTGTGTCCCCTAGCGGTTAGCGATGACCTTGCCCATAGTAATCATTCCGGTTCACATACCATGGTAATAGTTAGGGGGAAGCGACACCCGAGTGATCCTTCCACAAAAGAGCTTTCAAAACCATTTACCTTTGTCTTGTTTTACTTTAATTAGCAAACTTTTCAACCAAAACCTTATTGCTAGATAATGATTCAAATGACTGAAGTAGGGGTAGACGGGCCGGCCTGGGTTGATATTTAAACATACTTATCCTGTACTGCACCCGACTAAGGTTTATACTTGGACCTTAGGCGAGAAATTGTTGTGGTATTCGGGACGAGTCACATATTGCTATGATGGTCTGGTGAGTTGCATTGGTTTGAGTCAAGTTTGCTTAGGGACAAGTAAAGAATTAAGCGTGGGGGAATTTGATAATACTGAATTTGTACATGTTTTCCCCGTCAATTCTTGGTAATTTGGCTTGGCAATTGATCATACTTTGGCCTGTTTTATGCTAGGTTATGCTAGTTTGTGATATTTCACGTCCTAGTACGCGAATGAAGGCTTAGTAACGAGTTTGGAACGATTGGACAAAGTTTGGGAAGATTGGACAAAGTTTGGTACGTTTGACAAGGAGCAAAAAGGAAACTTGCACGGCCTGGAACCCGATTTACACGGCCGTGCAAGCGAGGTCATGCGGAGAGGAAGATACGGTTTGTGTATGCATGGGTCGTGCAAATGGTACCTCGATCGTGCAGAGTCACAAGAGAATTTGCACGGGCTAGGACTTGGTTTTCACGGTCGTGCCGCGATCGTGCACAACCCTTCGAAGAGTTCAAGTGAAACAACGTGTTTTGAAGTGCACGGGAAGCAAGAATAATTTGCACGGTCGTGCTCGACCGTGAAATCGGGCAGGTGCTGGTTCTAAACCCAATTTCGAGTGTTTGCGAAGGGGATCAGATATTTGGAGCAAAAACTGACAGTTATAGAGAGAAAGTGACGATGAGTGACCCTGAAGATCCCTAGAGATAGAAAATGGGGGAGAGACGTGAGGTCAAGAAAGGATCATTACTCTGCCGATAGAGTGACTCGTCTTACTTAGAGAGAAACCACCCTCAAGGGAAGAATCCGCGGCAGAAACTGCAGCACATGCCATCATTTCTCTATTGTGGCCACCGATTCCAGTGGTGTGCTGGGGCTTTGTTTCGAACGATGATCACCCATAAATCCTTCCCTATGGCTGGCTAGTTCCTTTAGTTTTGTAGGTACATGTGAACCCTTGGGGGTCTAGTTATGTAAACTCGATGTTTGGCTTAATAAGATTGTTTCATTTCATATGCATTGATGCTTGATTTTCTCTATTTCGTGATTTGTTGATTCGAATGATTGCATAGTCGACCTTGCACTCCTTCGAGGTGCAAGGATCAAAATCCTAATCATGTAGGATTAAGACTAGAAATGGCAGTCCTACTTGATTGATCTTCATTCGATCAAATGTTGTGACGTTTCAAGGGAGAAATCCATAGGGTCATTGTCGCCTATTAGTTTGGGCAAATGCTTCAATACAAGGTGGGATCTAACGTATTTAGAAATCAACAGCTCGTACATTGCCAGATATCGAAGGATACATGACTAGAAGACCTAAAGGGAGCTTCAATGCCTTCCTTCTCTGCTCTCTCGTCCATCCAACCTTAGTCTTAGGTTTACTTTTATGCACTCTTTTCCTTTTCGATTTTGTTTTGCAAAAACTGGAGGCACCTCAACCTCCTACATCATTTTAACTCAAATGGAGCTATACCTCGCCACCAAAGTAAGTGTTCCGCGAGAGGCCCCAGAGAAATACGTTCGTTGCTGGCGACATCTCACAAACTTAAGAAAATGAACCAGATACGAGTTATATTCTATCCTTTTAATTCTTTTGCTTTTCTTTTCGTGTCGAGTCAGTTTCTGTATGTTTTAAGGGAAACTAAAATCGACAATCCAAACGTCTAAATTCTTTTGACTTCGGCACACGGGGTGCCCTTTTCTGGGGGGGGGGGGGGGTAACCTATTTCTAGGAAGTCTCGATTCCCAGATATGGATGAATGGGTAGCCCCCAAGTTGGAATATGATCCATCCTCTTGCATTATGAGGTTTAAACAAAGCGATTCAGTGTCGCTCTATGAGTCATGATGTCGTTACCAGAGGCTTCTCTACAAATGGCTCGATCATGGATTCACGAGCATTCACCTAGCTCACTTGTTTGCACTAGGATTACGCCGTCAAATTCTTGATTCCGTGAAGACTCTCTATGGGCGTAGCATTTGGGATATTCCCGATGATAAGATTCTAGAGGAATTTGGGACATTTGCTAAACTTTCTAGAAGACAGGTTTCTGACATTCGCCAACCTAATTTGGAGGAAGCCTATGCCATAAAAAATGGTTGGATTTAGTGCAACATCAGATCTTCACGGTGCATGATTTAACCCTTAGGCCAACACCTTTCGCTGCCTCCATATTTTTCTTTCTCAACCATTTGAGATCTTTGATGTTGAGATGACCATATCTCAGATGCCATAGAAAGGAGTGGCTCAGATTTTCACTCTTGAATGCTAGTTCACTATTTTGTGACATAGCAAGAGAGAAAATTTTGTTGGAAGTCATTAGGACTTTTGACACCGTGAAATTGTCAGGTTTGTTTTTTTTTTTTAATGAAGATGATTATATTAAAAAATCAAAGGAAAAGAGAACGAAAAGGTCCAAGGTTCAGCAGCACTGAACCAGAGGTTACAGAAGAAGCCGAAAGGCTGAAGAAAGCAAAAGAAAACCAAAAAGCCAAAAAGCGAACAAAGGAAATCACAGGACAAGGACATCAATCCCAGGAAGGGATCAAACATGGAAGGACTCCCTGGGAAAACAGAAGGGGCAACACACTGTGGAACAACCACAGACACAAGACAACAGCCCCAGAAACAGAAGAAACATGACAAGCATCAGCCTAGACGAAGTTCCCATTCATCCAAGATAAACAGGCCTGTTTATCAGCTTTACCATGAGCAACGATCCATTCTATCACCATCCGAGAGATTTTACGCGCAATGAGTAAACTGGAGGTTGTTGAGTCTTGGAAAATTCTTCTGTTTCGCTCCAGCCAAATGCACCAGCAGGTAGCATGTAGACTGCAAGAGACGAACCAGCCAGTCACGTCAACAGGTTGCGTATTTGGCCAGTTCCTTATAGTCTCGATGATCCCTTGTGTAGGTTGCCGAATGCCTCGACATCTTCTGTTGAGCAGATTCCAAACAGCTTGTGTATATCCACACTTGATGAACAGATGATCGCTTGAATCCTCCTCTTGTTTTCAAAGTTCACATCGGTTAACGAAATTCCAACCCCGTTTCTTCAGGTTATCAATCGTCAGGATTCTGTTATGAAATATGGTCCACATAAAGAAGCAAATCTTGGAAGGGATTGTGCTTTTCCAGACGGCGCCGCCAGGGAAGGAAGGATCGCCCGGGAACGCTGAATCACTGAGACACCTGTACAATGAAGACACAGAGAAACAACCATTCGAGCAAGGTGCCCACACAGGTCTGCAAGGACTGGAAACAATATTAAAGCCCGCGAGGGATTGAAGATAAGAAAAAAGGTTGTTTTTTTCTCTCAAAGCCCCACCCCTGAGATTAATGTTGAACTCAATAGCCCAATAGGGAGACTCACGAGAGATGTCGACTAAGTCAGCGATAGAAGCCTTAGGGTCAGAAGCAGCAGCAGCGACACGAGGAAAGATGTTGGCGAGGATGACGCCCGGAGCCCAACAGTCATACCAAAAGGATGTACCATGCCAGCTGCCAGGTTCAATAAAAGCATAGTTCCAAAAGAGGCTGTATTCTTTGGAAATACCTGCCCAAGGAGATCTGCCGTAACCATTCTTGACAATAGATGTGGCCCAGTTGGAATGTTTATTTTTGTATTTAATTTCGATAAGGGTATGCCACCAACTGTTTCTTTCAGAGGCAAAGCGCCAGAGCCATTTAGCTAATAAGGCTTTGTTGAACGACTTGAGATCAAAAAGCCTAGCCCACCCTTGTTGATAGAGGCCTTACACACATCCCACTTAACGAGCGAAGATTTGTTGAGGTCACCAGCGCCACACCATAAGAATCTTCTCATGATTCTTTCCATCTTGGCTGTTATCAATGATGGAGCTTTGAACAGGGAGAATAGGTGGACAGGAAGGCTGCATAAAACGGCTTTGATGAGAGTTAGTCTTGCTCCAAAAGAAAGATGCTTCGCCTTCCAGCCCTCGAGACGTTTTTTATACCTATCGATGACGGGCTGCCAGAACGTGGGACTGGAGCTAGATCTGCCCAGCGGGTACCCCAAATACATGAGAGGCTCATCACTCCACTTGCAACCGAATAGATCAGCAAAATATCTTGGTTCAGCCACATCACCAACCGTGATCATAATGGACTTGTCAAGGTTGATCTTGAGTCTGGTAATAGCTTGGAAGCAGACGATAGTAGCCAATAAATTGAGGACTTGACTGTGGGAGGCGTCACAAAACAGCAAGGTATCGTCCGCGAATAGTAAATGTGTGACCTCTCCCCTCCTGTTCATATCATCCATGTAGAAGCCTTCAACCAAACCTGCCTCCTTCAGCTTGGCTATCAAGTGAGAAAGTACGTCCATGATGAGGATAAAAAGACCAGAAGAAAGTGGATCTCCTTGGCGTAATCCCTTCTCTGCAGGGAAGAAGCCCTTGGCTTCACCGTTCACCAAGATGGACAAGACAGGGCTGCACATCGTGCCTTTGATCCAGTTGGACCAAATAGGAGGGAAACCCAAACTGTCAAAGATTTTGAACATACAACTCCAGTTGACATTGTCGAAAGCCTTTTCGATGTCCAGCTTGAAGATAAGTCCCGGCCTCCTACTTCTTTTCCTGCTGTCAATGAGTTCATTAGCGATTAGGCCTGCATCAGAAATTTGTCTTCCTTGAACCGCGGCATGTTGTTCCTTAGATACAATTTGAGGGAGTATAGGTGCCAATCCGCGAGATAGAACCTTGCTAACAAGTTTGTTGAAGCTGCTCAGAAGACAGATAGGTCTCAAATCTTTGATGTCTTCGAGCGAGTCTTTTTTAGGCGTAAGGCAAATGAAAGAATGGGTCACCATTTTAGGAAGGGACCCACTGCCATAAAATTCATTGAACGCCAGTAAGATATCACTGCTGATTGAACCCCAGCAGCGCTTATAGAACTCCATAGTAAACCCGTCAGGAACCGGTGCTTTGCTCCCGTCACAGTCACCTAGAGCTTCCCGGATTTCCTGCTCGGAAAAGGCTGAACAAAGACTGATAACGTCGTGATTCTGAATCTGAGAATTAATGTAACTACGAGGGAAAGGTCTAGATCTTACACTTTCCTTAAGTAGTTCTTGGTAATGCCCGACAATGGCTTGTTCAAGCTCATTACCATCTTCATAAACAACACCTCTGATGGATATCCTGCTGATGAAATTCATTTTCCTCTTGAAGTTGGCCATTTTGTGGAAATAGCCAGAGTTTTGATCACCGAACTTAAGCCATAGTTCCCGGGATTTCTGTCTCCAGCATATTTCCTGCATAATCAGAGCATTCTTAAGCTCGATTTCCAGCTCATATCTTCTGCTTCTCTCATCGTCAGAAAGAGCTCTACTTTCGCTCAATAAGTCCATCTCTTCGATATCTTTGAATAGACGATTGACTCTCTCGTGAATGTTCCCAAATGTATGTTTGTTCCATAACTTAATTTCTTGCTTCAGGGACTGCATCCTCTTAGCCCATCGGAAAATGTGACCAGATCCGTCCAGAGAATATAGGATCCACGAGGAGAGACTGGTATGGAAGCGTTCGTCTTCCAGCCACATATTTTCGAACCTCCATGGGCGTTTGATGTTCCGAAGAACACCCCAAGAGATGAGAAGAGGTTTGTGATCAGAGTCGAAGCGAGGAAGAGCTGACAAAGAACAGGTGGGAGCGATGACATCAAAACCGCTGGAAATGAAAGCCCGATCGATTCTGGACATAGAGGAACTACCTGCTCCATGGCACCATGTAAAGTGGCTGCCTCCAAGAGGGAGTTCAATGAGAGCATTGCGATCAATCATATCGTTAAATCTGTCCATGAGGTCAGTGCTACGTCTGGTACCAGTGTAGTCCTCATGACATCTGACTAAATTGAAATCACCCGCGAAACAATATACTCCTTGAATGCTCTGACAGTACCTGTGGAGCTCCTGAAGGAAGACCAATTTATCTGCCTGGTCTTGAGGACCATAAACGATAGCCAAATGCCATATGTTCGAGTTCTCAACGTCATTGAATTCGACGCTGATGAAAAAAGTTTCTTCTCTGAAAGAGAGTTGTTGGAATCGAAGCTTATCCCAAATTATAACAATACCTCCCGAACTACCAATAGCATTCTTAGCCACCCAGCCAAAGTCACCCCTGCCAGATATACTTTTCACGAGATCATCAGTACAAGAAGTCCACTTGGTTTCCATAATGCCAATGATACTTGCTCTCTTAGATCTGATAATCCTCCTAGCTCGATCCCTTTTGTCCGGTTCACCCAATCCTCTGGCATTCCAAACAAATATATTCGTATTCATTATAAGAGATCACCTATGGAGCCTCTAACCTGTTTTCTGCAGCTCCTCGGCCCCGACGGAGGAGGTGCAATAGGTCCTAATCGATGAGCTTCCATCTCGAATTTAGAGCGATGGCCTCTGATCTTTCTCTGATGCGTCTCTTGTGCTGTATGAGCAATGAAACTGTCAATCTGATTGGAAGTTTGCTCCTCGCCAAGATCAAACAGGTGGCTGAGATGGATACACGTATCCTTTAAGGAGTTGACATCAAAGGGGTATGCGCTAATGTCCCATCTGCTTATCGGATCTTCTGTGAAACATGAGGGAGAGGGAAGATGGGGATTATCTTCATTATTGAGTTCAGCCAAGAGAGAGTCAACCTCACCACCGACATTGGACCCAGATAGGTCCTGCACGGGGGTATCGGGGTCGGCGGTAGACTCCTCACAACCCAATTCTGAGGAATGCAATTCATACTCACTGCTCTTGGACAAAGACCCACTGGAAAGAGGTTTGAAGGACGGGGAGGTCGGAGAGCCTTGAGGGGTTTCAGGAACCCAGGATACTTCGGACTGAGTGCAGCTAATTGGGTCGGAAGGTGGAGGAGTGAGGGCGAGAGGGGTGGTGGAGGCTTGAGATAGGATGGTGGGAGGTAGAGTGGGGTTACGGCGCTCAGTAAATAAGGAAAAGGAGAAGCAACTGGGAGGATCGGATAAGGTGAGAATTTGGTTAAAGTTACGGTGAGGGATAGGTGTGGTGGTGATTAAAAGGGTGTTGATTGAACGAGGGAGGGGGAAGAGGGAAGAAATGAAGTTGAGGAGGACTGAGTAAGGAAGGACAGAGGTTGGTTTGGTCGACATCGAGAGAGGCCGAGGGACAGGTAGAAGTTGGCGGTCAGGCGGGTTGGAATAGAGGGATACAGATGAGGAGAGGGTTGGAGGTTTGGGCTGAGAAACGAGAAGAGCAGAGGCAGGCCAGTTTATGGGCCTAGCTTTACGTACCCAAATGCGTTTGGGTCCATCTTTCCTGTTAGGGGAGAAGGGCCCGCTAGAAGCTTCATGATTCACCAAGACGTTTTGGCTACCCAACATGTTGGAATTCGGGAGCCACGTCCGTTGTGGGCGGTTGCTGCATGCGGGTAAGGAAGGTGCAGAAATCGAGGGACGTCTATTGATCTCCTGCCCCTGACGCCGACGAGAGGGAACTTCCGGCGGGACTTCTTTTTCCGACGGGGGGACGAGAATTCTGACATGGTAAACATTTGTCCCGCGACGAATAGGAATAAACTCTGGTATATTTGGATTCTTCTTGATTCTGATACGAGTGTAGGGTAGAGACCAAGAATCCCAGTCAAGATCAACGAAACCTCCGCAGAAATTGCCAATAGTTTTGAGTAAATCGATGCTTTTGAGGTGAAGCGGGATATTGAAGGCTAGAATCCATCCAATTGACTCCAATGGATGAGTGTCAAAGGCATCCCAGCTACTCACTGTGATTGTGAAATCCCTGAACTGCGACCTCTCAATTTTCCGAATTCGCAAAGCATCGGCGATGGACGGACAGATGAGCAGCCAGCTGCCGTTAGAGCGATCTTCAAGAGCAAAGTTGTCGTCGATAGCCCAGGCTTTTGTGGCCCATTTCCAAAATTCAGGCACCAGACATTTGCTGAAGAAGATGTTGCTACTGGTTTCGAACGAGATGAGTAAGCTTCTGTCAAGAATGTCGGTCCTCTCCTTGATCCCTTCACTGTCAACATCGATATAGCTTCCTTGATGATTGGTTCTTATGGTGCATTTTCCTCCTCCGTAAAAGCCCCCATATTTGACTGCATCTGCGTAAGAATGTATATGACGATCAGGCTGTGTGGCACTTTCGGACGGGATATATTCTGCAATTTGGACGTGGTGAGTACGAGCGCGTAGTTCGGCTTTGTAGAATCCTTGAAGGAGATGAATCGTCTTAGCCCATCCGGGATTGTTACCCGAGGTCGGGATGATGACTTTGAAGACTTTGCCCGTGCTCGTTTGTTCAGAGATCTGTAAGAACTCTCCACGGTGGCTGTTGAACTTCCCGATATGGATGGAGCGAGCACCACTCTTCTTGACACAGTGGGAGGGAAAGTTCCAATCCCTCATAGCCGCCGTTTGAAGAGTCCCTTGGAACCATATGATTTGACTTTCGTCTAATAAGACAAACCATCCCCTTCTGCTGTCTTCCACCTGCAGTTTGAACATCCTAACTGTATTCCTGTTGATACTGCTGATGGACACCCGCTTGGTTCCGACTTTCAGACTTCGCCTAATCTCTCCTTGTCTCCCAATGCTGAAATCTGACCCTGAAGATTCATACCTGCAAGACAAAGACAAAGAAGATCTCTGATGAGTCGAAAACCCACCTCGCCCTGACACTCCTGAATCACTCCCCTGACTACTCTGATCCCCCGCGGGCAGCTTTCCGACGAGAGGAAACATCTTCCCGTTTCCATTCCTTCTTACTCTCTTTCTCTCTCTACCTTTCTCTCTCTGCATTCTCTCTCTCTATTGATAATCTAGCACACATCATTATCAAATAAGAACTTGTAATTTTTCAGCATCAGCTGTCCCACACTAAGTAGATTATGAGTTAGCTCCTGAACATACAAAGCATCTCGTATGAGAGTTTTGTCATCTTCTGATTGTCACTTTTCAATTTAGAGTTAGATCTACAAATGAAAACAATATTAAAATTATAAATGAAAAAGAAATTATGAATTTTTTTGGTTGGCTATAGAAATTGTTGAGAAATTTTGAAGTAACGAGACATTTATGAAAAAATTGTGTATTATATTTTAGAGATTAGCGCGTAAGAGATGACAATCCGTTCACCCAGATTTGGAACTGGTCAGATAGCCCGTAAGTTTTGTGGATTCTGTTTTCCGTTTTTCTCATTGTTGTTTGTTGGATTCGCTGGCCAAACTTAGTTGCGATTGGGTCAACAAGAGCTTGTAAAGTTCAACGTCCAGTCTGCAACATCTGCAATATAAAATTACTTGGAAGTTGGATTGTTTTTAAATGAAAGTGCTTGAGGCCTAAATCTGACTAATCAACAAAGATGCATAATTGCAATGGCGTCTTCTTCCTTTCCAGAGAGAGAACCTTTTTGAGATAAAAGTCGGATTTGGCACATCATATTCATTGGTCATCATTGTGATGATCGGGATTGTAGGGTTCCTTTCTCTCCCTCTCATCATTTTCCCGGGAACTTTACATTTCTTGCACAGTATTAGCCTACCTCCCACTGAGACTTTGTTATTGTTAGGCTTTGTCAGTGGTTACATTACGTGGTTAGTAAGTTATCAATTACAGAGCATCAGTTGCTTTCTCTGTCGTATGGTTGCTTTTCTTGATCGTTGGATTTAAGATGCAACTAGAAGAATACAAGAGTGCACATTTTTCACCCTGGAACGTTAAACAAATAGATTAAGAATACAAGAGTGCACAATTTTCATCCTCGAACGTTAAACAAATAGATGAAGAATAACAAGCTATACAATCCCAGTACCAACCTCGAAGTGTTGATCCAGCAGTCATACAAGAATCAAAACACCAGTCACGCTATCGGATTCAAAGCTTGAAATTTGAGTTCGACCGAAAATAGGGCTGGGACTTGGGAAGAGAGATAACGCTGTCTGGATTATGGCATAAGATCGAGAATACAATAGCCATTGCGCAATTGAATCTTACACAAATCATACAAGAATCTGCAATATACACTAGAGAGGGGGCGAGTGTTAGAAAAAAGCCAAGCACGGTGCCTTGAGCTAAAAGAAACAAAAGAATTTCCCAACAAACTAACGGCAGGGATATTACACTTATACATACCTTGCCCACACTTCTATGCTTACACCTTCCTGTTCCTCTTTTCTTTGTCTCACATACGTTGTTCAAACCCAGCAAAACAAAACTCAAGCCATGAAAGAACCCACCACCAAAGTCACAATTACCAATCACAAACACCACCTTCACAAATTTGATCCAATTACGCTACTTGATCCCCAAAAAAATGATTGTATTTGGGGAGCATTGGTAAGGGAGATGTAGCTTTTACAGGTGGGTTCTTGACAGAAATCTCCAATGCTGCCTTGCTCGTGCATTTTTGTCCAGAAGCATTAGCAAGCCATCACTATCACTTGAAGCTCCAAACATGTACCTGAATGACCATAATCTCAACAAGCATTACGACGTATTTACATCTCTTAACATTAGCAAGAAGTTAATGCCCTATTCAAGGAAACAAACTAAACAAGATAGCCCTATTCATGGAAACAAACTAAACAAGATACTAAAAGCACACCCAGAAACCAAAGTGCTTCTCTATTTTCACAAGTTCTAGTCTTTCCCCTCTGGTTCATGGACAGGCATTGTGAAATTATGGTTACGGTCCCTAAAACATGTTTCGGGTTATAAAGGAGCGATTGTATCCATCAAAAGGAAAACAAGTTACTTTATCTGCCTGCTGCCAGGTAGCCCTGTGAGAGGAGTCACACAGGTTGAACTTATAATGTCAGCCGAGTCTTGGAAGTTAAAACAATGTCAACTAGACATGAGTTACTTACCTGCTGCTTTGGCGAGCTCTCTTCCTCCAGAAGGCGAAGGATGTAACCCACTGAACATCAAAATGGAAGACATGTAAATGGCTAAACGTAATAATCAACCAAGCAAAAATTCTTACATATATAAGAACAGTTCAGATCATGAAGAAGCATAAATTATTGAAACTATTAAAAGGAGAAGAAACCAATTGAACAAAAGAACACAGGACTAGAAATGTTCTCCTTACCACCTAGAAGTGCTACTTACCAGTCTTTGATGCCTGGCAGGCAGCCAGAAGAAATTTAAAGATAGGCCACATAGCACAAGAAAGAATCAAATGACAAGTAGTTTCCAATGATCACGGATTTCTAAATTTTCATAGATAAAGTAGTGTCACCGTATCAGCACAAAGAAGACAATTATAGCACATCAAGCATACCTTGACAACAGATATGAATTTAAGGGCTCCTGCAATAGAGGGCTTCTTCACCGGTACTCTACGCTCAGGTGTCATGTCCTTGCACAACTGCTGGGCAATTTCTTTCAGTAGTACCAATTGTGCTTTGTCAGTACGCATTGAGATAATTGCCTGCCTCATTGATTCCCTGTCAGCCTCAAGTGCATGGAGCCTTGTGTATAGTTTCTTTATATCAGGATCACTCAGGTCAGGCTGATCAAACATTTCTGTTCTTGGGCTTGAAACATAATCCTCTTTATGATCATTTACCCCATTGTGCACAGAATCAATGGTATAAACTCTGTCATCCATCTCGTCTTCAAATTCTGAGGCATTATAATCTGCCTTCCTTTGAAACTTGTGTTCTTCCGGATGAGTAACATAATCTGCTTTCTTAAAGCTATTAGGGAACTTGTATGAAGGTGATTCTGTAGCTGTTTCTCTCGCCCCCCCTCTCAATGAACCCGAGCTCTCAACAGAAAGAATCCGATTATGCCTTGTCTTCCTTGGAGACTGACCAACTATCACCTTCTCCAAAATATGTTTCCCATTCCCACCAGAAACATCAGCATCCAATTGACTGCTCCTAGGAGACCTCTCCATCTGGTAGATTCTATATTCCAGATTCTTCAAATGATCGTTACCGCGAGGAGTATCGTTATGACAAGGGACTTCCCCATAACGAGGAGTCTCGCCAAATGCATATTTCTCAACATCCACAACTTCTTCTTCATCAGCCTCAGCAGCAGCTTGGTTCTCATTCATATTGCACTTCAGTGGCGGGTAATCATATTCTGGGAAATCAAACTGCGAGCCCATATTATCAGACATACTCTGGTTCCGGCTAAACCCACCTTCTACCTCAGACTCTGTAAGCCCATAACTCAACATCCTATGCTTGTAGGCTTGCACTTCGCAGGTAAGAGATTGAATAGCCTGCTCTTTCTTGTACAACACATCTTCCAATGACGCAAGCTCTTCCTGATCATGGGCCATCTTCTCCTCTGCAAAACGCTTGAACTGTCTTGCCTCCATCTGGACCTCGGCCTTTTCCCTCTGCAACCTCAAAATCATAGACATGGCCTCATTTGCAGCTGAGGAAGCAGCATTTCTCTCCTCTTCCAGTTCAGCATATAAATCCTGGATTGCCTGCTGTTGGCTACTGACGCTCTCTCTCAGGGCAACAATTTCATTCTCAATTTGGATCCGTGGATTTGAAATGAGGTCGAGACCCGGTATAACAAAAGGCTTCCCCTCAAATTCATCATATTTCCTCTTCACAGATTTTATCCAGGGCCCAGAGGAGGAAGAGCCTGTAGAACAGCTACTACATCCACAATTGCAACATTTGGCCAAATCCCTAGAAGGTGGAGCAAATGGTGCAGCAGCCACTTCCAAATCCATAGGCAAACCAACAACTAGAAACCAGTACAAGTAATATCACGACGATGATTAAGAACAACGATAGAACGAATGGTATTTGACATTACCAAAACAAGGATTTCCCTAACACATGTCTCTCTCCCCCTTGGAGATTGCAAGATTCCTGAGCAGCAAATTTCCTTCCTTTCTTCCCCCAATCCCAATAGACAGACAGCCCATTCCCCCCTGAAATTTGAGATCAAACATTCATTCAACACAGGGAAAGAATAGAACAAATAATGGAATAGAAACGAAGTATATGAAGATAAACAAACATCACGACGAACGATTGCTACAGATAGGAATCAATCTCGATGGAGTATTCCCTTAAATAAAAATTAGATCAATTACAAAAAAGAGAATTGCATCACGAACACAAACAGAGAGGCGGAATTACCTCAGTTCAACAAGCCGGGAAACGAGTGAATCTCCCGTAAAGGCCGACTCTTTCTTCTCTTTTTCTTTCCTTCTCTTGCAAATCGTTTCCCGATTCCAGCGAAACAAGCAGAAGAAAACCCGAGAAGAAGAAGAAAATTCAGGGGGTCCCCGGGGCACCGAACGAGAAAAGACGTGAGAAGCACCAGTCTCCCCCCTCCTCCAAAGTTACCCGGCGGACAAAAGCTGGCCGTGGAAAAAGCGGAAAAGTAATAAAGAAGAAGGAGAAGAGCCCGAGGGGGTATGGCGATTGGGAGAAGAAAATTGCGGAGGGCGGGGAGAGAGACACAGATGGAGAGAGAGAAAGAGAGCGCGAAGGAGGAGCGAGAGAGGGGGAAGGGAATTTCGAAACCCTAGGGGATTATTTTGGCAAGTCCTCTTTTCAGTTTTTTTCCTTGGTCCCTGAATTGTACGACCGACGGCTCCGTCTTGATATGTGTGAACTTTGTTACAGAGAGAGAGAGAGAGATGCGAATAAAAACGACAACCGGACAGTACCAACGGAGAGCGAAGAAGCTAATGAGGTCAGCCAGCCGAAGCGGAGTTGGGATGCAAAAAGTGAACGGATGACGGGGTTTTATTATTGTCTATTATAATTAGTTAATTACTATTCGTAAACCAAAAAACAAACATTAATCACGAAATTGGTTCGACGGCTCTTTCCTAATAGAAGCTTCGTTAACCAATTAGGGTTAATAGTTATTGCAATCCATCTAGACCTGGCAAATGAGGACCCGACTCGAACCCACCTGAAAAATAGAGAATGGGTTGAGCTTTTTATAACCCGAAACCCGAATGACCCGAACCCGATTAACCCGTAGTTTTTGGGTCGGGTTGGGTTGATTTGTGGGTCGACCCGCTAGACCCGTTTCATTGCATATGTCACTCTCAAAATGATAAAATCACTTATACTTTGGTGAGATGTTTAAACAAATTTATTAGGATTTGAAAGACAAGTTTGGATTGTTAAGATAATCAAACATCATTTGTTTATTGTAGTAGTATTACTTTCGTCATTGTTTTTTGACAATTTGTATTTCTTTTCATTAGCATGGAAGGAGTTGAGCATTTGTTAATGTACTAGGCAAACTATTGTCGCACATACGTAAAAATTTGTGTTCTTTAAAAATTTATGAAACATGTTTGATATTGTTTCTGAGAACACTCATGACCCGAAATCCGACCCGAAACCCGATGGGTTGGGTCAATATTTGACCCGAAATCAGCAAACCCATCATGACCCGACCCATGAAGACCCGTAACTCGAGATTCCCACCCCGAAATTACCCAACCCGACTCGATTGCCAGGTCTAAGTCCATCACCGAGGATTAGAATCTTGCAAATCTTTTTAGTGGTTTGTAAATTGACAACTCACTTATTCATCATTTGATATCTCTTCAATTGACATGTAAATCCAACATCTGCAACCCTCTGCATGTCGGTTTTCTAGGAAATGGGGACGATTTGTGTGTCGGCAAATTAAACCGCCGAAAAATGTCGTGGTTCTATTTGTCGACTTAAAATCGGCGGGTCCGGTTTGTTTTAGGGCAGCCATAAAATCGCCTTGTGGCCATGCGATTTGTGACGAAAATTTAAACAACCACAATTCCCTGCGGTTATTTACAAAAACCATTGCCCCATGTGGCGATTTTTGTGAAAGGTGGTATGACTGGAATTTTTCTGAAAATTATTGTATTTTTTGAATTTTTTAGTTTAATGGTGGTATTTGTGGAAAAAATCCAAATAAAATGATGTAACATTTGGTGATCACTATCTTCTTTCATGGATTAAAAAGCATCCAAGTCCCTGTACTATCGAAAGATAACAAATGAGCCACTGTTTTATACTTTTAATGAAACAAGCTCATGTACTATACCTAGATAACAAATAAGGCCCTCTAACACGAGCACAGATTCGATACCCGTAGGTATAGGTGTCAAAACAGAACCTGACACGAGCAATCTGCCCCCGTTTAACCCGAACCCTAACTCGACCGTAACCCAAACAGACTAAAGTCAATGACCCGTAACCCGCTTGACCCGTAACCCGATTGACCCGCAACCCAATCAACCCGCAACCCGATTAAACCGAACCTGATTGACCCACAACCCGATTGAACCCGAACCCGACTAACCCGCAACCTGGTTGACCCAAACCCAACTAACCCGCAACCCACCCGATTGATCCGAATATTTGCTATATTATATAATATATAGTCTTCCAAATGAAGTTTTTGGTTCTAAACCAAAGCAAACTATTTTTTTTATTTCTCTAAGTGATGTTCAAAATCTAAAATTTACTTGAAACGATGTATTTTAATTAAAATGATTTCTTTTCCTAGATAAAAACAAATTAATTTTAGTTGATATCATATAACACACCGTATTATATCTTTAAACAAACTCTTCAAGATCTTTTTATTTGATTCTCCATGTAGTAGTAGTCGTAGCGTTAAACATTACACTTTGAGAATATGAAACAATACAAATGGGTCAATTATACATCCGAAAGAGAGAGAAAATACAATATGATGCAAATGAATTTGCTACACACATTCATTTACAACAACAAGCCTCTAAAGCTATTTGACATATTAAAATGGAAACCGTCATTGTCTATATCAAATGTACATCGATTAATGATTACTCTGCAAATCTACAAAATTAATCTAGAATAACTTAAGGGAACTAGAAAGGGAAGCTCTATGTGAAGTTCATTCATCTACCTCCTTGAGAAGTAGCAGCAGCTTCAATAAGAAAATTCCCTCATCTTCCTTTGGATCTGCAAAAAAAGAGGCAGCAACTGTAATCAAGCTTACATCACCTTCATTCAAACAGAGGAAAGACATTTGATTTTCAGTACCTTGCACCTTAAGCGCCAACTATAAAGGAACAGTAAGACAACGACGTGATGAAGTATCACTCACAATGATGATATATCTGAATAGCTCTGGCAACGCAAACTATAACCATCACAGTCATCCCATGTAAGTATGTAACAATACTTCAAGAAGTCAATTGAACATTCTACTACGAAGTCAAGATTAATGTAAGGCCCCAACAAACAATGTACAATAACTTAGCAATAAAATCAAATAACGAGTTGGGAATGCAGCAGGGATGCTCATAACCATTTGCTACAAAATCCTGTTCCAAATATGCCTTTGACCCATATGTCAACCCCTGGATCAAACTAATTCTTCTTAAGTTTGAGCACCAAAAGAATTTCTTTTTGCTTCTAGCATCCACAATTGGCTGAAGAAAAACAAATCCAAATAGTTAGAGAAGACATAGGATCACATTTCATGGATAAGAAATTGAAGCATCCATAAGATATATTTGGCGAAAGGAGCAGCTCTAGGAACAAACCTCGCAACCTATTCAAAGAATTGAATGACCTGATGCAGATGGAAATTACAGAAAATCCAAATTGATATCACCAGGACTTGTGACGCTTTGCAACAGGACACAAAGTAGACAGTGGCCAGCGACAAATGGATCACCCTCGGTTCAGGGAGATGCCAACAAGATGGAGACGAAGAGAGCAACGATGATGGAGACAGTGGAGGTAGCGTATAGCGCTGGAGAGGGAACGAGAAGGTGAAAGGAAAGTTGAGGGATGCTTGGGTCTTAGTGTTGCAACGCTGCAATTGATGATTCCGGAGTAGAGGAGTGGTTCGGGAGATGAAATGATGATGGAGATACAGTGACCAACAACGGCGGAGGTGGTAGAGGGGAAAGTAGAGGTAAAGGGAAAGCGAGAGAAGTTCTAGAAGATTTCTCTACAACTGCGTAAGAAAGTCCTAGTTTAATCGACAAATTTTCAGGAAAGGAGGAGCCCGCGAAATTTAGCTGCTCTACTAAAAATTTTCGTCAAATCCAATTTTACAAAAACGAACCCGCTAAAAGTTTAGCCGCTCACTCTTTCAATTTTTTTGAAACTAACAAGGGATTGAGAAAGGGGGCAATTTTCCCTCCTGACTATAAATTTGGCCACGTTTCCACAAAAAGAAATTTAGCCACGTTTTTATATTTTATGAATAGGAAGTTTAGCTAACTCTTAAATATTGGGAAATTTTTAGATGAAGGTAGGAGTGATAAATTATTTTAGATTAAGATGAGATTTTTTTTCATTTTTGTTCATGTTAAAAGACACACATTCCCTTAACAAATTTAATTATTTGAATATGAATTGATTTGTTTAAATATTATCGGTTGCCTACTCGACACAAAATTCTAACGTAAAACTACCAGACACTAGTTAACATCATCATCGGTGAACATCATCAAGTTGGCTAAAAATTCTGAAAAATGTTTTAATTAGTGTAATAAAAATATATAAGTTGTAGTAACGAGTCATAAGTAACTAACTCGATACGCTCAACCGAACAACTTGCAACCCGAGTATAGGGTATATGTTATCAAGTAGAGTTGTAATGTTTTTTTTATGTGAATCGAGTAGAGTTATGATTGAAGTCACAACGATTCTACTAAACTTGATAAGTAATCTTTAACTATTTGTTGTTTAGGGTATAGAGTATATGGTT